TCACTCGTTCATTTTCTTTTTTTTTGGAGAGCTACAAACATGTGAGGTCGATGCGCATCCGCATCTGTTGTGCCCTAGGAATAAAGGGTTATCAGGTTTGAAGTGATCCTTATTCCCATAGCACAAACCTCCCAGTTATATAGCTCATCCAAATATATTCGTATTCGAATCGTATGAAACAAAATCAAATCATGTATTCAATGATTCACTCGATGCGCTCATTTTGCTTCTCATGCACATGCAGGTAACAACGGGGGAAAGTCCACAGGCTCGAAGTGATGCCCCACATGCAAATGATACCCCTTGGCATCACTCGCATTATAGGCCCCTTCGGACCCAACACATTTTTTTTTAAAGTCCCTTCGGACTGGCATCACCTCCACCGCCCCCCCCATCCTTACCTGATGCCTTCATACACCGGATCCACCTTCCGGAACATGTGCAAGTACCGGCCGAACTGCAAGCGGGACGCATCATCTGAAACATTGCTCTTCGAAGGTACACGTGAGTACCAGCTCATGGCATGCGATTGCAAATCTGCTTTGGCCACGGATACCAGCAAATCGGTAGCATCACACACCGGAGAGAAAGATCTAATCAAGCACGACCGGGCAGCTTCATTATCGAGGTAGAAAAAACACAAGCGACGGTTGATTACATGCTTCCACGTAAGCTTGGCCACAAGAACTGGGAGGATTTCAGCAAAGAAAATCAACTGCTTGAGACCCGTCCGTCTCCACTTCGTGACCAGCCAACCTGGCACTCTGTTGCCGAAGAACTCTTGACAGCCCGTGGCCAAGTCAAACATAACCGCTCCATGCGTGACCAAACGGCCTTCATCCTCGCACGCACCGTCAGAGAAAATCAGGACTGGCGGTTCGCCGCCCCAGGCGGTGATCTGACGAGGCCCCGACTGTCTCAACATGTGCAAGGCCTCTTTGGCAGCCTTCACCACCTCCTGAAAGACACTGGCACCGTCATGAGCACGCAAAGCCTGGCCGATAAGCTGAGTGCAAACTTGGGCACATCGTCCAAACACATGATTGGTGGCAAACAAGAGTCTCCCTTTGAAAGAAGCGAGTTTATCCTTGCACAAGCGTTTCTGCGATGCGATATCATCCAAGAGGGCAACCAAATCATCTATGCGGCCAGCCCGGTTGGAAACCTCCACCAAACCTTCGGAGGCACGGGCGAATGAAATGGTGACTCCCAAGATGTCAAACGACCTCGCAAACGGCTTAAGCTTATCTCCTCGGGATATTTCCCATCCCAAAAGCCCCAACACTTGCTCGGCAGTTTCGGATGCAGACTCAGCAAGCTCGTCGCACTCCACCTGGCAAAAGTCGTCGTAATAGCTGGTGTTCACTAGCCACATAAGGCGAGACATTATCAGCTTCAAAGATCTGGCCATGCGATTAAATCCGGTGACGGAGCTCTTCCCCCCGAACGGCAGCGCCACCGCCTCGAAGTAATGCACCCCGTCATCCTCAGGATTGCACACAGCCAGTATCGTCGCCCAAGAATCCGCCGGGCGGCGTGCAAGTTGCTTATAAGCTGCTTTAAGGTCAAGAGCCCTCCCTTTAAAGCCCCGAACCCCCGCACGAAAGCTGTCATGCAGATAGCCCGTAACGGTACCTGACCCTAGGGCCGGAAGACAAAAGGTACCTTTGCACGAATCGGCTGCTCCAATGAAAAACCGTGCCGTCGCGGCTATGTGATCCACTCCATCCAGAATCACCCTTTCGGTTTCGGTCACTGAAGAGTTCACGAGAAACTCGCTCAAGTCATCTACTGAACGGGTCTTTTCTCCTTGAACCACGCCGAATCTCTTCGAGGCCAACCAGACTCCTCGAAATCTTCTGTCAACCTGTTCCCAGGTCATCGGTCCCTTCAACCACTTCTTCTCGACCTGCTCCAAGGTCTCAGCCCATACTTTGCGCGCCACGTCAACGTCCCCAGCTGCTCGCCGGCACGAATTGGCAGCCAAGTGCTTGGACCATTTCGCCGTAGCTTTGAGATCTTCAGTTGACAAAGAAGCTGGCTTGAATTGTCTCGGGAACAATCCTGATGGCTTCAACTCCCCCGTCAGTCGAAAACCCTGTTTGAGGTCCTCAACCAGAGAAGGATCCTGAATGCCAGCATCTCTGAGCATCTCATCAAAGAGGGTGATATGCTTGCTGCTCACAATTCTCCGAACTTCAGGGTCCATGGTCGATTTTAGCTTCTCCTCTTCTTGTTGCAGAGCCGCCGCCCTCGACCTGTAGTATTCAATCCGTTGCCTTCGAAAGATTTTAGTAGCTTCGACCCCTGCTGACAGGATATTGGCCATTGCCTGAATATTGGAATCGTCCAATGCCGAGGGAGCATCAAACGGGTGTCTTACTTTCATGGCCTCCTTCACAAACTCATCGGGTGTGCGAAAAATCCCATACGTGACCTCCCGAACCAAGCAATCCCCCTTCATAATCTTTCGGGACAGCAAGAGCTTAGACCCCACCGGCACACCAAGCAAGCAGTCCGGGGCGCTTTCAGGCATAGGGTCCGGCACAGGCATTTCCAGGTCAATACAGACCGTCACACGGGAAAGGAATTCGGGGGGTCCGACGCATGCCGCCTCGCGCCTTGCCTGTCGCTGCACAGCCTGCGCTGCGAGTGCAGAATGAGATATGGGCTTGCTTTCCATACCCCAGCCACCTTGGACTAAGATGGCGCACACGTCCGCTGCAACGGCAGCACAGAAAGGGGCCGGGTACTCCGCCTCTGACGAGGTCGAAAACTGCCACCGGCCGTTTACACGAACCTTGCCCCACGGGGCATGCCTATGCGACTGATCGCACAACAGATGCATGGATGGCAGCTCATGAGTGCTGAACAAGGCCGTGCGTTTGTCCCTCGCACCCCCGTACATGCAGTTCTGGGTCCGATGGAAGATGCCCAAGTTTGAGATTCTCTGCATCCACGGCGTGAGCCACATCAGGCTGCCGGTTGGATTCTCGATCACACAGACCTTTCGGTTGGCTGCGCAAAACTCGAAAACCCTTGCAGCGAATGCATAAAGATCGTTAGCAGCCTGGGACGCGTTCCTTATCAATTCCACTGATGTCCGGAAGCCCACACGGGTGTGTTTCAGACCGAAGCGGGACTGGGCCTTTGCCTGAGGGTAAGGGTATAGATCGGGCTTGTGAAGCCGTGCCACACGGGGGCGCGACCCAGACCGCCTCTGCTCGGGCCACCTCACGCATGACCATGTCTTGTTGCACTGGATCCCGCAAGTCTACGCGCACAGCCGATGCCTTCATGCACCTAGGCTTCAGCTTGTGATCCATGCCCAACACGTCACAGCCCCGCTTCTGCATAGCCGCAGACACACCTGCCGTGCCGCAAAACAACTCCAAGACATACGGCTTCCGAAGTGGTGGAAGGACTTCCGTCCCGGCGCCGGCAGTATTCGCGGAGCCCTCGCTACCCCCACTACCGCTGGACCTAAGTCGGGAGCAAACCCAGGCGGGGGAGGCGGAGACCTACCTCCAGCGGGCCTAAAATAGCCTGCCTCCCGGCGTTGCTTTGACCGTCTGGCTTCCGGAGAGACGCAGGCTGACCACATGGCTCAGGCAACCAACCCAAGGGACTATCTCCGGACCCACTAGAACCCAAGGCCACCCCTAGTCCGGAGCTCCTAACGCGGGTGCTTGTTACCGCCCAAACGGAAACCTGCATCCATCAGCAGCTGTCTCTGACTAGCAGGCATACGGTCTAGCCTCGCAGGCGTAAACGCCACGATGACCGATCTCGGTCCATTACGCCAGGGCATAACCTTATGAAGCTTTTGCGAATTGAAGGTCACAGGCCCATTGGCGACTGGCAAGATGGACCCTGACCTTTGCCTGCCTCTGGCCCACAACACAGTATCACCTGCCCGGCCTTCGACCCAGATGCCGCCTTCACTGAAGCTGGACAAAGGATGCACCCAGTTAACTGATAACGGGAGTGAACAGAGCCACCGCGCCAAACTCCAGATTGGGAGCACGCTTGCGCACAAACCTGGTGAGAGCCTCCGTCGTCCGAGGAAAGACTGTGCAATGGCGCCGCAGACCTGTGGACCCGGCTTTGGAGAACGCGCCTGTGGTGAAGGCATGCGCACCTGCTTGCATAACACCTCGGGCAGGCACCTCGGTCGGTAACAAGGAGATGAGTTCCAGAATATCACGCTCACAAGGTTCATCAATGGTACAAGCAAATGCCTCAGCAAGTTGCGATGGATCAGAATAATCAGTAGGAGAATGCCCTACCTTAGCATCATTAACGAGAAAACAAGAAGATTGACTGTCCGAAAACCCTCGCTTTCGAGACAAATATTTCCCCCTCCTTGAGAAGAGGATTTTTGCACTTGGCTAGACAGTGGATCGCCACCCTTCGCAACTTCACACTGTCTCGTGGGGGGCCCTCTGGCCCGTGACCCTGCGACGAGTCACCCTGGCCCTGACCCGCTAGTCAGGCCTTCTTGGCATTGCACTCAACGCCCGGACGCGAGCCAAAGCAGAACACACATTTGCGAAGCCCCTTTGGGCACTGCTTGCCTGCACGCTTGCACGTCTTAAGCGAATACCCGAAGCACAAGGAGAGGCCCTCAGCGTCGACGGGCGACCCGCCAATCAGCTGCTTATAGGCATAGGCACCCTACTCTTCTTTGCAGTGGGCTCTGTCACTTCTGACTCGGCCTGCTGTTTCTTGCCCTTTGATTTGCGCTTCCGCTTAGTGCCTTTGGGGGCATTCGGAACGTCTGGCATGTTCCCTGACGCGGAAGCAGCTTGCCCTTGCTTAGCCTTAGGCATCAACAGCCACATGACAGCCGGATGCTTTAGCACAGATTGCAAATCCAAAGGTAGTTCCCCGCCGGGCCCCATGGTCAAACCTCCCCGCGTCATCTCACCAAGGCGAACATGGATTTCACGGTCAGCCTGTGCAACTTGGAAAATGACATCACCTGCCCTATGGCATATGCCACGCCCCTCCTCCGAAGGGCCTGGTGGACCTCGAGCTCAGACCCCACAGGAGCCTGAACCTCAGGATCCTTCTCGACTTGCTTGATAGTGCCTGACCTGTCCGGTTGCCAGACCCGCAACCCTACCACCTCCTTGATGGCATTGATCTCCTGCGCCCTTGTCGTGCACTGGGCCCAACTGATGTAGCGCACTCTCTGCTCTTCAGCCATCTGGATCGCAAGCCCCAACGAGGCTCTGAGAAGGCTCCAGACGAGCATTCATCTCCTGAGGTGGCAGCTTACGCGGCTGTTCCGTATCCGTAGCCTCCGAAGCCCTCTTCAGGTCGGAAGCCGTCATAGTGTATGATTCCAGAAACAGGCGTCTCAACTTGGCAGCATGAGTCATGTCAGCTGCAAGGACTGGCTTCAGCACCGTATCCTCGAACGCCTTGTCGTCCGAGTGATTCTGGATGCAGAACGCATAGGTGGCACACGTGTTCCACCCCAAGCTTGCCAGCTTTTTTATGACAGCTTCAGGTATCTCGATCCTCTTGCATCGTGACTCGAACACCGGGACACTGTCAACCATGGACATAGTGCAAACTGGACTCTTAGGCCACAAGTAGCCGTCCGCCCTTTGGTTAGGAGGCAGGCTGCGGACACTGAAAGTCATCGCTGTAACCCCATGCACTGTGGTGGACGAGGCTTTCCTCACACCCCAGCCGCATGAAGCGCATGATGCCAACTCACACAAGTCTGACATGAACATCCAGCTCTCTGGCGCAACGATGACAAACACTCATGCCCAGCATTCATAAACGAAATTACATATCACTGCAGCTGAACCCAAGCTCGACACACTGCATTCCCCGAATAACTCTAGCCCCCAGCGCTGGCTTTTTCTCAAGTCCAACAAAGCGCGCACTGCCTGGTGTTGAAAGCTGGCACAAACCTTAGCTTCCTATAGTTCGAGTTCGCAGTGCGACCACACCGAAACTTTGTAGACTCTCCGTCCTCATCCGGATGCAAGGTGTCGGCCACATGCACAACACCGCTAATGACATGATTGAAAGCAACAACCCCAGGCGTCTGGACCTGCGGAGCCACCTGGCCATCCACCTCGTAAACCGCAGACTCGGCCATTACACCATCTGCCTCTGAAGCCCCGTCATCCGGAACCTGTCCTGCATCACTCTCGTCCCCAGGCTCACTATCAACAAGTTCTTGAGCTGAACCACTCTGCAAAGTAGCCCCAGACCCTGTGCGAAGCAGAGCCATGCCCTGCTCCACAGTGCTGCAACCTGACCATCTACCACTCCGGCTATGATCGGGGAAGAACAAGGAGGACTGAATGCACGAGTACACAGCATGGATGAAATGCAGAACCCCTGCTTGGCCGTCGCGCTCGTACTCCAGGGGATTCTTCTCAGAAGCACTGACATGGTAGCCTGCCCTCCGCTGCAAGTCCGAAGGGCACGCCGCCTTGGACAACCAACTGAGCACCGTAGCTTTCAGCGAGTGGGTCGCTAACCCCATTGACGCTTTAGGATCCGGCCTCGAGGCAGACAACTTCTCACGCAACCAAATGGCACCATGACATGCATCAAAAGGAACAGCAGCCCAACCCCCCCAGGCCAAGGGAGCTGGTTGGAAAGGAACGCTTTGCACGCTCGCAACCCATGCGCCTGCCTGCCCTGAAGCCACGGCTCGGCCCACACAAGGCCGCTAACCCCAGGCAGAACCGCAACTACGGGCAAGACCTGCCATTTGAAGGCTGCTGCTGTCTTGTGGGAATATACACTGGATTCTAGATATCCATGGCCATCGACGACGTCCAAAAGCGGCTCTGCATCCACATGCACGGCGTCAGACCATCTCAATCTGGAACGCAGTACAAAAACACACGAACCCCGCTATGATCCCATCCTGGCCCCGTGACTGGAATGCCAATCTCTCTAGCAAAACGACCTCCTCCACGGCCAGAGGGGACTTCTTCGAAACCACATGGGGTTCAGTATTGCTGCACGCGCCTTTCACCCTGGGAGACGACAGGATTGCATCTACTTCCGCACCCAGGAGTCCTTTAGAGAATCCCACCGCCTGAAAGAAGCCAGCCAACCTCGACTTAGGTGCGCCCTCTCTCCGTAGATGGCATATATACGCGTAGGCTTCAGCCTCCGCCAAGGGGAAGACCCTCATTGAAGACCCCTTGATGCCCGCTGACTTCCACCGCATGTAGCAGAGGAGAGCATTGGCCCTGCTTTTCAAAGTTGATACAGCCTTGCCTGCAAACGCATCACGGATTGAGTCGAATACCACTTGCTCATCAGACCCTGAATCTGCACAGATTGTTTTACCTAACTTAGTGCTTTCGCCCGAAGCCACCACCAAGACCTTCCACGACTGCAGCACAGCCGTCCTGGCCTCACTGCGCGCATCCTGCCACGCCTTGCACTTAACCGACCTGGATAGCCAGCTCTTCGCGGATGCTTGCACAACCGAGGCAGATGCGAGGGAAAATTCACTGGCAATGTCAAGGGCGCTGCACGTAGACAGGTTGTCTTCACTCAAAAGCTTCTCATCTGGCCATGCAGGCTTAGGGAACTTATAAGAGGAAGGCCCATCTCCTAGCACCCTACGCAACAAAGATCCCTCCTGTTCCCACGGCAAGAGTGGCCTCTTCTTACGCGCCCCTAAGAACCACAAGTTAGACCGAAGAGACAAATCAACAATGTCTTCCCGATCTGATCCCCCCATCTTACTCAAAGACATTGCGCTGACACTGGCCGCAAAGTCAGCCCAAAATTCGCAGCAACTGAAGCAGACCGATGACTACGAAAACACCAGCAGCCACAGCCTGCTGTGCGTTAGCCAAACGCAACTCAACGTCGTCCAAGGTGCGACGGTGAGCCTGAAGTGCGCTCAGCACGTAATGCTGCAAACGATTGAGCTGCCCCTGCAGGCGGGGACGTGGCGGGATATGAGGGAATTGGTACTGACAGAAGAGGAATGCTCAGAACGCTCCTCGTCGGAGGCGCTTGCTTTAGTCTGCACGCAATGCCCAAGTAATAATCACACTAGCACCTGCGAAGGCACCGGAAATGAAAACTAGGCAAAGTAAGCAAGCCCCACACGCAAACTGGAGAGGAGCGGGTGCCCCAGGCTGTGCCAACACAATAGGACCTGCTGCTCGGGCCCTGCTGGCCACACGCTGTCGCATCCACAGCTAAAGGCAGTTCTGGTGTTACAAGGCTCAAGAGTTCTCGGGCCCCTAGGAAGCAGCAGGTTAGGGGTCTCTAGCACTGTCAAAATTTTGCTCTGGCCTACCTCAGAGCCCAGCTGATGGCGCGGTACATAAAGATGACCCCTCCATCCGCTCAAAATCGGACCATGTGCTTGTAGAAATCAAATACGCAATCATGCTCACATGAAATTCTTGCGTACATGAAACAAACACACGTCCACGAATCTCAACCACAACTTCACTCGTTCATTTTCTTTTTTTTTTGGAGAGCTACAAACATGTGAGGTCGATGCGCATCCGCATCTGTTGAGCCCTAGGAATAAAGGGTTATCAGGTTTGAAGTGATCCACAAGCAGCAATTGCTTTCCAATCAAGTATT